AAAAAATGGTGTTCGAGAAATTTTTATAATAGTATAATAAATTAAAAATTAATAAAATCATGAATCGTGAGCCAATCACCTTGCGTAATTTACTAATGAGAACGAGGCTCCAAGACCAAAAAGTATGTGTTTACAATGTAGTTATCGAAAGGGTGTATTGAAAATACATCCAAAAGCAACGCAAGTTGATTGATTACAAATGTTCTCTGTTCAGTGGTTAATTGAACCATATTTAATGGACCAGCGTTCTTATTGTCTCACTTAAGGCCTAATTCCACGACAAGCAAAATGCGAAAAATTTCGAGCGAAAACCAATGGCGAAAACACACTTGTGCGAAAATTTTCTCTCGTAGCGATTTCCACACTTGGAGAAACAATTCGCTAAAACATAAGCATTTGATTGGTTTCGCTATTTTGTCATCCAAAACACAAGCATTTGATTGGTTTCGCTATTTCCATTTCGCAACGGAGTAGAAACGAATTCAACTACCCGGCGAAGAGAAATATTTCGCAGAGAAACATTCCAAAATCATGCTGCGCATGCGTTCAACCTTTTCGCGCGAAATTTTTCGCATTTCGCTCGTCGTGGAATTAGCGGAATTAACATTCAATTTTAATTCCCTCTGGGGAATTGTCTATGTTTCGTTTTCCATGCAACTCCCAACGGTGGAAGAATGTGATTTCGACCGGCAATTTTTATTTGACGAGTATGTGGCCATTTCTCATCGTTACATCGAAAAGCTAAACTACTGTTCTTTCGTCCTATGTAAAAATTAAACTGCTTAGCAAAGTTTATGATGCACGATGGCCTGTTGAATTTCCGTTGCGTTTTTTTAAAAACACCCTGGCTGTACAGGAATTTGAAATGACTGTGTACCGCAGTATACGTGCTCAAGTTTTGACCCGCACCTCGCCCTGTCAAGTATGGAGAAATTTTAGCAATCTTATATATAAATTATCAATATGATTACATGCAGGGAAGGCAAAACAGTTCCCCTTGTTTTTGGACTAAAAATTGTCCCTTAACCTTTGGAGTAAAATTTACTTCTCAACTGAAAATTACACCCAAAAAAGACAAAATTTTATCCTACTTTTTGGAGTAATTCAGTTTTACCCTTTGAAATTTTAAATTTACGTGGTATCACAAGTTTACAACAAATTTTATCACTGCACATTTAACTGTTGTCACTGCAGGGGTGAAACTACGGGGGCGTGTGTGTGTGTGTGTGGGGGGGGGGGGGTGACACCCCCGGTCTCTATCTCGTCGAGTATATCCATAGAATTTTGTCGGTTAAATTTTGAAAATATTTGAGTGTCTCTGATTGAAAAGTAGTAGTTGTAGGAACAATTTTGATAAATCTACGAAAAAATTACTGAAACATCTTACAAATTACGGTAAATTATTTCGAAAGTTAGTGAAAAATGCTATGTCCTTAAATCTCCCCCCCCCCCCCGCTTGCCAACAATTTCGGAAAAAGAAATATTAATTAGCGACTGAAATGTTCGTCCGTCGGGAACGACTTCGGCCATGCCTTTTTGGTCGGGCAAAACAAGCTACCCCCCCCCCCCCCCCCGCTTGTTTCCC